CATGGGAAATGCACAGGTCTGCACCAGATGGGGTTCGAGCAATGAAAGAAGTGAGCACATTCCCCCATCCTTAACCCAGTGCAAATTCCATGATAACCACTTGCAAATGAAAATTTAATTTCATACAAGGAAGTTTCACTGGGAAAACAAACTACTCTTTAGGGTAAGCACTGTCCCCAGCTGTAGATGGTCAGCAGAAAATGTAGTCACTGTCATCTTTTGGGGTTCCTTGTTTTACAATGTTTTGTCAGGTCTTTTCCTTTTATAAATCTTATTTTTAACATTAATTTTAATTGACTTATATTTTCTCTGTTTTTAACCTACATATCCTTTGTGTGTTAATCTATATATAACAATATAAAAAATATAATATATAATGGGCTCCAATTTAATGTGTTTAAGGGATTCCAGAATGTGAGCAAATGGGTCTTTGCATCTATAACGTTTCTTGTGTCTTCTCTTGGACTGTTTTCCTGCTTTGTATTTGTTTTGTTCCATTCCAATCTGCTAGTTTTTATTTGTTTTTTTTTTGTTTTAATATGGTCTGTTATATTTTATTATTATCTCTTAGAAGTGTGTTTGTTTTATAATAGAAGACAGAATGAGAGATGGAGAGGAGCTGAAAATGGTAGAGGGAAAGGAAACCATAATCAGGATGTATTATGTGAGGGGGAAAAAAACTACTTTCAGTAAAAGGAATAAAAATAAAAATAAAAACATCTTTGAAAAATGCTTATTTGGGGGCTGGAGAGATGGCTCAGAGGTTAGGAGCACTGCCTGCTCTTTCAGAGGTCCTGAGTTCAATTCCCAGGAACCACATGGTGGCTCACAACCATCTATATATAGTGAAATCTGGTGCCCTCTTCTGGTATGGTGGCATACATGCAGTCAGAACATTGTATACACAATACATAAATAAATCTTTTCAAAAAAAGAAAATAAAGAAAAAAGCCTATTTTGAAATGATCCTGCCTCTATTTATGATGGGATTATTAGAAAGTATAATAAAAGCATATGTAACGAAAAATGTGTGTGTGCATTTATCATTCTTAGTTCCTATTTTTCTTTTTGTTTGTTAGTGTGTTCAGAGGGTAAAAACTAAATGCCCCATCTAAGCAATAGTAGACAAAAAAGAAACTCTCCCAAGATAGCTTTGAGTTTGTCTGTGTTGGCCATCATGTGATGTGTATGGAGTGTGTTCTTAAGTGAGGTTTATATATCCAACTTGACTCCCTTGGAGAAGCTAACGTTTCCTTGGTAAGTGGCTGCTAACTAGAGATAGATTCTTGGTTTGGGATCAGCTCTCCTGGCCTTTCCCCACCTAAGCCCTGGTCCCCTGCCTAGCTAGGTTGGATCTGTGAAGACCCTGAGCATGATACTAATCTCTGAAGCCACAGATCTTTTCATTTTGGTGACATCTGACCAATTTTTTATTGACAATGTTATTACTGATATATCAAAATAGTACTTCTTAATAAACTATATTAACCCATACTAAAATAATGTATTAGGTTTTTCTGTGTGCCCCCCCCACACACCTGGAAAACACTGAAGTCAAAGTATGAAAACTTTCCATAACAGCCTAAACCTAAGCTAATTTTAAAGTCCGTTAAGGTGATAGTCCCATCTGTTTCTATTCAATATTTTACCTTTGATATTCTGCTTAGTTCCTAACATCCAGGTCAATAAGGTTCATATGCAATAGTAGGAACGTTTAGATTAGAGGAACAATGGCAAGGAGTTTTGTTATTGTTTCTTCACCAGGCTTCACTCGTGATTATAATGGAAACCCTTTGCCTCATTATCTCTTTGGCAATTTTATGCAATAGAAATGGTAGAAAATAAAGATTATTATTTTTTTTAACATGTTTCATTTTGATATATGTTTTTGTGCTGTTTTTATTGTTGGGATTTTACATAGCTCAGACTTGTCTCTTGAACTAACTGCTTACACCTTTATCAGAATTACAGATGTGCACCACCATGTCTGACTTTCAAACATATTTGAAATTGGCTTTCAAAAATATTTAACATTGCCAGGTGGTGGTGGCACATGCCTTTAATGCCAGCACCCGGGAGGCCGAGGCAGGCAGATATCTGTGAGTTTGAGGCCAGCATTAGCTACAAGAGCTAGTTCCAGGACAGGCTCCAAAGCTAGAGAGAAACCCTGTCTCCAAGAAACAAACAAAAAAAAAAAAGAAAGAAAGAAAGAAAAGTGTTTCACCACACTCCACAAAACATACAGTCCAATTATGTACAAGAATCAAATCAGGTAGCAGATAAGGACATAGCAAATGGTTACTTCAAAATAAAAGGTCTGGGTAGCCACTTTTGTCACATATGGCGACTGACTATTGCTGTGACTCAGGGGAAACAATGTTTGTATTACCCCCTTTAAAAATCATGGTATGGCATATTCTCTGAACAGATGGGAGTGAAAGCTTCTTAAAGATAGGAAATCAGGGTAAGCTAGGCTGATCCTCCGGACCTGAAAATATACCCTTCATTTAAGCAAACTTCTCTAGTACACCAGTATAATAGAGTGCTGACATATATTGCCCGGGCAGTCTTAAATGTGTAGGAATCAGTTGCTCAAGTTTTCCAAAGAGCGCTGAGGATATCAAGGATGGACAATCATAGAGATGCTGGGGGAGGCATCCTTTCAGTAGTCAGGGGATTTTGATAAACACAGATGAAAATGAAGGTGACTGCCAGGTGGTGGTGACTCACACCTTTAATCCCAGCACTCAGGAGATGAAGGCAGGTGGATCTCTGTATTTCAAGGCCAGCCTGGTCTACAAGAGCTAGTTTCAGGACAAAAAGGACTGTAACAATGAGTTACAATCCTTTTCTTTCTCGAAAAAAAAAATAAAAAGAAAAAAGAAAAAAAGAAAGAAAATGAAGATGATCGAATGAAATTTCACAGAAATTTCACAATGACAAGGATGTAGCCAATATTAAATTATTTAACTCTGTTTGTGTGTATACTATGTAACATGTTCCCTAGTAGATGAACCTTGCCCAGACTGAATAAGAAACACATGAAAATAATTTTCTATGAAATTTTACTTTTAAAATTTTAATGTATTTTGAATATATGAATAAGCAATACCCAAGTTTATATGTATAGTACACTGAATTTGGGAATAATCTTAGGGTAGTAACTGAAACTTTAAAACACAATTTTTAACTCAACCAAAAAGGAATAGAATATCAAAATGATTACTATCGATACTATTTATGATTGACTGCTTTTTTTCTATTATCAGTTGATTTTTATATTTTTAAATAAGTAGCATTCTGGCTGTGAAGAGTAAAGTTAAATATTTTGTTATTCCAAACACAATAAAAGAAGTCATATATTAAATGTTAGATAATTGTCTACTCTAGATACCTTCAATTTATTGACCACTTAAACAATTGATCTAAAAGATTTTTGTGAATCCACAAAAAAACACTTTGTCTACTTTCTCATAAAAAGTTTTGTCCTTAAGCAAGTTTTTACAGCTTCTCATTCTGACTCACAGCCCTTTCTAATTTCCGCTGGTCTAAATGACATTTATTTAGATTTATTAATTTGGTACAAAGGAGCTCCCATAAGGTTTTTAATAATGATTATCATTATCACTGATTAAAATTGCATTGTTTGGTCCAGATGGAGTTCTTTTCCTGTCAGCTAGAATGAGCTTGTATTGTGTGGTTATAATATGTTTAGATCTAAACAGGCAGATGGTAGAGTGGTAGGATATTGTATGCTCCTGGTATCAGTAGCAGTCCCCCATTAATGCTGGCTTTAAATAAACTGTGTTCCAAAATGATCCCCATACTTTTCTAATGATAACTAGTTTTGAGAGTCTAAACATCACTGAGCTTGGGCAGCGCATTCTTTACTTCTAAAAAACTCTCAGGTAGTCTAAGTTTCTGTCAGAACAATTGTCAGTCTAGTTGAGTTTATCCATGAGAGTGTTGGTCTTCGCAGGTTCTTTCAGGCACTTTCATTAGAGAGAGAGCTTCTAAGCAGCAAGAGTTCTTAGTTAAGTATTTAAAAACTGACTCAAGGGAAGACAGTAATATTTGGTGTGAAGATTTAATATCTTCACAATGTAGTTATCTTGGTTAAGTATGTTGAATTTATAATTAGTAGTAAAAAATGAACAAAGTTCTTAATAAGAAACTTTCTATAGAAAGGTTTTAGTCTTTAATAGCTTTTCATGTTCATTCAATTCTAAAGAGAAGTCAGCGGACTTCTGAAGTTTTGAGTAAAATTCAGAAACAAGTTTCAAGGATAGTTCACACACACGGCTTCCTCCAGTTAATGAGCTTAGTCCCAAGTTCGCCTGAGAATTTCTCTGTGGGACAGCTATACTCCATACAGAAAAAACCCACAGATATGAACTTTCATCGTAGGACTTAAAGGATGCCATTTGAACATTCAGATATTAACAAATTTTTAGACCTACATATTACACAACCAGCGTTAAATTTCCCTAAATATTTTTTGTTTGTTTCTTTCTTTTTTCAGTGCTTGATTTTACCTCTTAGTCTGATGGTTTATAGTGTCATTGAATAATACACTCTTGTAATAGACTGCAATTTCTTCCTTTGAGTTATTACCCCTTAATTCTTAATATTGGTTGCTATCATTAAGTTGTGAGCTTTGGAAGCTCTATTAAGTAGAATAGATCTAGGAAATATCAATGTTCAATAATCAAAATGAAAGAATGTAACTACTTGCTTCTGTGCAAAGAAATATTAACAAATAGACTTGCTTCCTTTTCATGTAAAGTGTGGGACAATTTCACATATTAGGTCATTGTGCTTCAATTTCTCCTACAAAAAACATTCAGATTTTGGTAAATAAGTAATCATTTTTAGGAATGTATCTCATTTCTAGCATGACTTAAAATCTCCTGCTAGAAACAAGGGAATTTCATTAAGAAGGTACAAGAAAACAATGCTATAGTAAACACAGTCTTTCTCTTTTTTTTTCTTTTGTGCAGGTGGAAGATGCCATAAATCCTGCACTGGACGATGCTGGGGACCCACAGAAACTCACTGCCAGACCTGTAAGTGTTCCACCGGGAAAAGTAGAAGGTTTGAAATGGTTGATGGTTTAGTGGTGGAATATACTCACAACTCTAATCACCTGCAATGGGAAATAAGCTTAATTTCTTTCCATCTAAATAACCTACCTAAATTGTTGCTTTTAAATGAAATAATACACACTTGGTTCTCATATTCCCTTGTAGTTTCTTGGCTAATGACGTCCATAGCTCATTGAAGTCTGTACATCAGTAACAGTGGGAGATCCAAATACGTAAAAATTTATAGCAATTCAGTTTCAGGTAAACTGGTCTTTTATTAAGTTTCCCGAATACTAATACCATCATTCATGGATTTTAAAAAGAAAAATATAAGAAGTACCATGAGCCTGTTTTTTGTAGACACTGAGTACAACATGTATTTGCAAACTACATAGATAATAGGTTTACAATTATGACTTTTTTTTATTGAAAAAAAATTTCCACCTCCTCCCAGCCTCCCATTTCCCTCCCCCTCCTTCCCCTCCTCTCCCCCTTTCCCCTCCCCCTCCCTCTCCAGTCCAAAGAGCAGTCAGTGTTCCCTGCCCTGTGGAAAGTCCAAGGTCCTCCCCACTCCATCCTGGTCTAGGAAGGTGTGCATCCAAACAGCCTAGGCTCCCACGAAGCCAGAACATGAAGTAGGATCAAAACCCAGTGCCATTGTCCTTGGCTTCTTATCAGCCCTCATTGTCTGTCTTGTTCAGAGAGTCCGGTTTTATCCCATGCTTTTTCAGTCCCAGTCCAGCTGGCCTTGGTGAGCTCCCAATAGATCAGCCCCACTGTTTCAGTGGGTGGGTGCACCCCTCGTGGTCCTGACTTCCTTGCTCATGTTCTCCCTCCTTCTGCTTCTCATCGGGACCTTGGGAGCTCAGTCCGGTGCTCGAATGTGGGTCTCTGTCTCTATCTCTATCCATCGCCAGATGAAGGTTCTATGGTGATATGCAAGATATTCATCAGTATGGCTGTAGGATAGGGCCATTTCAGGTTCCCTATCCTCAGCTGCCCAAGGAACTAACTGGGGACATGACCCTGGGCATCTGGGAGCTCCTCTAGGTTCAAGTCTCTTGCCAGTCCTAAGATGGCTCCCTTAATTAAGATATATACTTCCTTGCTCCCATATCCACCCTTCCTTTATCCCAACCTTCCCATTTCCCCAAGTGCCCCCCATCCTCCCCTTCTCACTTTTCTCTCCCCATCTACCCTTACCCCCATCCCACCCCACCCCCAAGATCCCAAATTTTTGCCCGGCAATCTTGTCTACTTCCCATATCCAGGAGGATAATTATATGTTTTTCTTTGGGCTCATCTTCTTATTTAGCTTCTTTAGAAACACAAATTATAGACTCAATGTCCTTTATTTATGGCTAGAAACCAATTATGAGTGAGTACATCCCATGTTCATCTTTTTGGGTCTGGGTTACCTCACTTAGGATAGTGTTTTCTCTTTCCATCCATTTGCATACAATCATGACTCTTAACAACGAATCTCACACTTAGATTATGCTTCCATTTAAGATTTATTTTAGTTATGTGGGGAGGTGTGTGAACATCATTGCACACAGAAGTTTCTTGACACTTTAACTAACATGAGAATTAAACTGTCATCATTAATAAAGGACAGGGCTGGAGAATAAAGCCTGTCCTTGGATTGTTTGTTGTGAATGCAGGAGACTCTGGTTGATACCTGGACCAGAATGTATATATAATATTTTCAGCATTTTTAAATTTGTAAAATACTTAAAATGTACCTGGTATTTAACAATCCTATGAATAAATATTTTAAATTTGAAAGCAAAGCTTCTTATGCAAATAGTAAACTTTTTCCCCCAAGCATTAAAACCAAAGTTTTGAACAACACAGGATAGTAAAAACGTGATATGCAGCCTGGCGGTGGTGGCGCATGCCTTTAATCCCAGCACTCGGAAGGCAGAGGCAGGCGGATCTCTGTGAGTTCGAGGCCAGCCTGGTCTACAAGAGCTAGTTCCAGGACAGGAACCAAAAGCTACGGAGAAACCCTGTCTCGAAAATCCAAAAAAAAAAAAAAAAAAAAAAAGTGAGATAAAAGTGAGATGCAACTTTTCCTAGCATAAAATAAATAGAAGACACAAAGCACTGGGGATTTATTTTTTTATTTTTTTTTAATTTATTTATTTATTAAGGATTTCTGCCTCCTCCACGCAACCGCTTCCCATTTCCCTCCCCCTCCCCCGATCAATTCCCCCTCCCTCATCTGCTCGAAGAGCAATCAGGGTTCCCTGACACATAGGCATCCTCATGAATTTTAACCTTCATCAGGCAATGAAAGGAGACAGAGACAGAGACCCAGACCCACATTGGAGCATCGGACAGAAATCTCAAGTTCCAAATCAGGAGCAGAAGGAGATGGAGCACGAGCAAGGAACTCAGGACCGCGAGGGGTGCACCCACACACTGAGACAATGGGGATGTTCTATCGGGAACTCACCAAGGCCAGCTGGCCTAGGTCTGAAAAAGCACTGGGGATTTAAACATGTAAACACTAAACAATAAGGAAATTTGTATTAATGTTAGATCAAAATTTAGAGATTTCACATTTACTTGCATTCATGAAATTATGACAATAATGGAATAACAAAAGCAATTATTGTACTATAAGCCTTCAATGGAAAGAGTACAGAAAGAAAATCCTCAAAGGTAATTCCTTAAATTATTTTTTAAATTTACATTATCTTGGTATTCAAAATTGAAGAGATATGAAAAGAATAACATAAAATAGTCTTCTCTCTTGTGCCTGCTTTGTTCACCCACCCACTGGCAGCAGACATTGAGCCCTTCTGCAAATAATCTCTGTAGAAAGGGAAGGTCTCCCAAGAGTATCAGCAAACATGGCATATCAATTTGCAGTAAGACTAAGCACCTCCCCATGTATTAAGGCTGGATCAGGTGCCTCAGTATGAGGAATAGGATTCCAAGAGTCAGAGATAGCCCCTGTTCTCACTGCTAGGAGTAGCACAAGAGGACCAAACTACAGAATTGTAACATATAGGCAGAGTGCTTAGGTCAGTCCTATGCAGCTCCCCTGCTTTGGGTTTAATCTCTCTGAGCCTCTATGAACACAGGTTAGTTGATTGTGTAAGTTTTTGTGTGGTATTCTTGACTCTGCTGGCTCCTTCAAAGCTTTCTTTTGTCTTCAGAATCCCCAAACTGATTAGCATTTGACTGTGGGTCTGTGTCTGTTTCCATTGGTTGCCAGATGAAGCCTGTTTCTCTGGTGACAGTTGGGCTAGGTACCAATCAGGTCACAGGAAATGGCCATTCAGACTGTGTGTCTGCTTTTGCTTGATGCTAAGCTGGTATCTTCCTTGTAGATTCTTGGAAGATTCCCTTATGTTAGAGTTTTACCTCCCCCTAAAATGCCCCTCCTTCTGTAATCACTCTCAGTTCTCCTTCTTTCCTTCCTTCTATCCCCCAACCAAATCAAGGTCTCATCCTTATCCATCCTCAGTCCTCTTAAGGAATCGCTTCTATTTCTCCTTCCCAAGGAGATCTGGGTGTCCCCCATAAAAACCCACCTTGTTAGCTGGTCTTTCTGAATCTGTGAAATGTTTCTTTATTTTACAGCTAATATCCATGAATAAGTGAGTACATATCATATTTGTCTTTCTTGGTCTGAGTTATCATCACTTAGTATGATTTATTTTCCTAGTTCCATCCATTTGTCTTCAAATTTCCTGTTGTTCCTTTGTGTCCTGAATAATACTCCATTCTGTATTGTATCTCATTTTCTTTTTCCATTCCTTGGTTGAGGGACATCTCCAGATTCTATGTTCATGAAGCTTCTATGAACATAGTTGAGTGTAGTGATGAGGTGAGCAGGCCTGCTTTTTGTCCCACCCAGATCCCCGCACAGCTAGCTTTACACCTGAGATAGCAACACACAAATTGTATTCATTTAAACACTTCCTGGCCAATTAGCTCTAGTCTCTTACTGGCTAACTCTCACATCTTGATTAACCAATTTCTATTAATGTGTGTAGTACCACGAGGTTGTGGTTTACTGGGAAGATTCTAATCTATGTCCATCTTGGGCTGGAGCTTCATGGCATCTACCTGGCACTGCTTCTTTCTCCCAGCATTCTGTTCTATCTACTCCACCTATCTAAGCTGCTGTCCTATCAAAGGCCAAGGCAGTCTCTTTATATGACCAATGAAAGCAACACATAACCAGAAGACTCACTTACATCATTTCCCCTTTTTCTGTTTAAACAAAAAAGAAAGGCTTTAAATTTAACATAGTAAAATTACATATAACAAAACAATTATCAAGCAAGAATTACAGTTACAATATTTATATCTATTTTATCTTTTATCATAACTAAGGAAAACTATAACTAACCATTCTTCAACTCCATCAAAGACTCCAGAAGGATATAATATTACCTAAGCAAACAAGAAATAAGCAACTTCCAAAACTCTAGAAATAACAGAGACATCTCGCTGCCTGGACAGTCACCCAAAGTTTTATTGTACCATTGGGTCATCCATTGTCAGCCTACAGGCCCATAGTATCCAGCAGACATTTCCATGAATTTCAAGGACAGTTCAGTCACTATCTGCTGTGTCCTGTACAATGTCTCACAGACTCTTTCATGAATCAGGAACCCTGAAAGACCATGTCACCTATAGGCAAGTTCAGCAGTCCTCTCTCTATGGGTTCTTTGTGTCCAATTTATGCAATAGTCCAGGCAAGAGCAGTTTCTTGCCCAAATGGCTAACCAACTCCATAAGGAACCTCTTTGATGCCCATCTTCTTCTCGAAGTAGATTGGTGCTGCCAGGAGCAGATGTGTCTCATTGTCATGAACAGTCCTAAGTTATTAAAACATTAAATGCCATATTCTGTAGTCTTTGAAAGATATGAAGAATGCCTATTTAACTGAAATATATCTCTACATATCTAAAAAATCTAACTAACATGACTACAAGCTTGACTATTATTGATGATTA